TTTTGAGAGAAAGTGTTTTGTCATAGAATATAAAAAAAATAATCTGAGATTTAAAAAATGATTTCCGAGAAAAAACTCTCTCAAAAAACTTTTACTCTCAAATATTATTTTTTTGCTATCAGTGTGAAAACATTTTCTCTCTCTCTCTCTCTCTCAAAAAACTTGTTTCTCTCGAAACATTTTTCTTCTCTCTCTCAAAACCTAAGTCTTTGCTCTCGTGTCAGGATTTTGCTGTCACTGTGAAAATAATGTCATGGGCGGGGCCACATTCCTATTGGCCAGTCTCAATCAAATTGACAGCTAGGTGAGAATCGTCTTGGGAGTCGAATTCAACTGAATCATTCATCCACCATGGTGGATTCACCGGCATAGATGTGCTGCGTTATTTGGGAGCGGATATGCATACATTAACGTTATGCATGTGTGGTCAAATGGAGAGGAATTGCACCCTAGGGAATACACTCAAACCTGTAGACTACTCTTAACAACAGAAGGTCACACAGATTCGTACACTGGTAAATATGGGAACAGGAGACGGACTTCCAAATATAACACAGAGGTCCAAAGCCGCATGAATGCACAGCCGCGTTACAGTGTGCTTTAATCAGTCTGTGGAAAACCGGCAGAACAGTGGAAAATGGAGCGGCTGCACCGGGGCTGGAGGCTGTGGATAGCCATCCTTCAGGATGCCCAGCTGACGGCCCACGTCACCGGGCTACGGAGTGCAGCCCCACACAGTGCGCAGAGGAGGAGAAGAAGCCACAAGCTGTGGCCTCAGCTACAGCAGGACAGAGAACAGGACAACCTGTTAACATAAAGTTAACAGAACTAGCAGAAGTAGAAATAAAAAAACAGAGCGAGCTTACCGGAGCGAAGGGAGCTTAACGCACAGCGCACAGCTCAAACCCAGTCACCGTCTTGCAGTGAGGAAGAGCAGACACCACGCTTTTCAAAGTCCCCTCCAAAGCTGCACACAACAGGAACGGCCAACACCGCTGTAAAGCGAAGAGTCATGGCAGCTGTGACACCATAATAACCGCTTTAACAGTACACAAACATTGCAGCACCCATGCCTGTTAAAATAATTCTGCAATAATTTAGAACTGGAGATCGGAGTCAGCTCAAAATTCAAACAAGGGTTTAATCTTGTACAAGAGGAGCATTCACAGAGCAACACGCAGGTCGGTTACAAAGTGAGGACTCAACGTCTGAGGAGAAAAGCTTGGTATTTATCTATCTCTGTGGGTGTGTTATCACTCTGCTCTTCTGCACTTAAAGGAATCATTCACAAGAAGGAAGTGATAACCTTGAGTATATATTCAATACCTTGAGTGATTATTCAATACCTTACTTGTGTCATGAAACAACACAAAGGGTCACAGGTCACAGGTCACATTACACAATTACATTGAACATTCCTGCATGCGACTTCAGTTCACATCTCTCTTCATGAAGTATAAAATTCCATCACAATGCCTACCGTATGAGTCCCAAGTTTGGGTACAGAAACCAGACCACGACAAACACAAAGCACACCAACCAGAGCACGCCACACACAGCCCTCGCCAGGTAAACGCCAGGTAGAAGTGAGCGTGCCCGTGAGGGGAAAACCAAATAACGCAGGTGCCACCACTGTGCAATTACAGGTGGGCCACACTGCCAGCGAAGTGCTGTGAAGAGCAGCGCATCGAAATTCTCGCGTGAGCCCGTTCACATCAGACGTGCATTTCTCCACGCCGGTCGACAAGCGCTTCTGCTCCCAGCTGTGTTGTCTCCGTCACATTTGGGGCTGTTTTTCCATCATGGGTATCTCTCTCTGTTTGAGTGTGTGTGCCCCGACCCCCACCCCCTATAGCTGGCCCACACTCTCTCTCTGTCTTGTGTGTGTGTGCGTGTGTGTGTGTTCGTCTCTCTCGTGCTCTGTTTAGATACCACTGACTAATATGTATAGCCTATATTCCTGCCCGGCTTGACACATTTGCTCGCGGCTCGCGCAGAAAATAGACCAGACGCCGAAACAATCGCTGCAGCATGGATGACACAATCGTTTAACATGGCCCACACTCTCTCTCTGTCTTGTGTGTGTGTGCGTGTGTGTGTGTTCGTCTCTCTCGTGCTCTGTTTAGATACCACTGACTAATATGTATAGCCTATATTCCTGCCCGGCTTGACACATTTGCTCGCGGCTCGCGCAGAAAATAGACCAGACGCCGAAACAATCGCTGCAGCATGGATGACACAATCGTTTAACATGGGCGCCAAAAGTAAACTTCGCTTCTCGGCGCTTCGAGGCTATTCGCAGTGCTTCCGTGTCTGGTGTGGCCCTGGCGTTAGGCTCCGACAACTGGAAATTAGGCCCAGCTGATGCCAATTAAGGGCGGAGGTGTAGCAGCGCTCACCCTGCCACACATGGAATGTTGGAAGAGAAAAGCACCGTAGTAAAGTAACGTTAATGGGATAACCTAGCTAGATGTAAAGTTAACACTAGCTGGCTAGTGCAGTTAATAACACAATCTCGGTAAATTAACGTTAGGTGAGAAAAGGTATTCATTATAGGAATGATTTTGATAACCAACTTGCTCAGCTAGCTACCCATCAATTGTATGTGTCACCATCTTACCCAAACATTGGAGTCTCTGCTCCCAAATAATGCAGCGCATCTATGCCGGTGAATCCACCATGGTGGATGAATGATTCAGTTGAATTCGACTCCCAAGACGATCCTCACCTAGCTGTCAATTCGATTGAGACTGGCCAATAGGAACGTGGCCCCGCCCATGACATTATTTTCACAGTGACAGCAAAATCCTGACACAAGAGCAAAGACTTAGGTTTTAAGAGAGAGAAGAAAAATGTTTTGAGAGAAACAATTTTTTTTTGAGAGAGAAAATATTTTCACACTGATAGCAAAAAAAATAATATTTGAGAGTAAAAAAAAGTTTTTTCTTGGAAATCATTTTTTAAATCTCAGATTATTTTTTTTAGTATTCTATGACAAAATACTTTCTCTCAAAACTTTTTTTAGTCTCAAATATTATTATTTTTTGCTATCAGTGTGAAAACTTTTTCTCTCAAATATTTTTTTTTCTCTCAAACATTTTTTTCCCCTCTCATATCATTTATTTTCTCGCATGTAATAAAGACACAAATATAGCTCCATACGCACATCCACACTATTTTCTTTCAAAACTATGGAGTTTACTGTGTACTTCAGAAAAGAAACTGAGAAGTCCTACAAGTGTACCATGCCTGTAAAACTAACAGATGGTGATTATGTGGAACAAGAAAAAGAGCTACCAAGCTCATGTTTTATTTGTGAATAGAAGATTACAGGTTAGGGTAGTACGACGCAGTTTTTTAAGCGGAGTGGTGAGCGAGTGGAGTGGGATAAAATTTATGCTGGAGTGGACCGGAGCAGAGCGAAGAATGCACAGAACCAAGCGGAGCAGACGAGCGGCGCAAAGTGACAGGTCTGCGAGCGAGGAGTGGAAATTTTCACCCTGTCCGCTCCGCTCACCTGCTCTGCATAAACTTGGATATGACATGCTTGATATTTTCAGACTCTAAGATGACAGTGCCTACTCAATCACAGGTGAACTGTGAAGCACAAAATAAAGGGTCACATAATTAAATAAGCTTTAAGTTTTGTGGGCAGTGGGCACTAGCTATTTATTTCCATGCTCTGTCCTCTTTTACATGATAATTGTAAGAGCTGGAAGACACATCATACAGGTAAGGCTTCTGCTGCCACAACTCCACAAAGTTTCCCTCTTTGCTGGAAACCCCCACATTTTGTTTAACACATTTTGCCTCCAAGGCAAGCTGTTTTCTGTCTATTTGTATGGGTTTAGCATTGGTGCATCATTTCATGCTGCATTTCTATTGGTTGGTTAGTAGATGAAGGTCGTAACAGCAGTCACTCAGTGAGAAAGTCATCCCAAATTTCTGACACAGAACTCTCTCTCACTTTGCGAGGTACATTTCTTTCACGTTTGTCATCTTTAGTCTTGGAGAGCCCAAAATCACACAGTGTATACCAGGCTTTAGAAGAAAATGGTTCCAGTACAGTCTTTGCTGTATTCTATTCCAGTGGTGAAGGTAAGAGGAGTCTGGCCACTCTCTGTCCTTACAGAGTTAGCAGCTCTGCACTGATGAGGCTTTGTTCTCCTTTGCTTGAAAAGTAAGCTTGCAAACTTTGTGTCTGCCCAGCACTAACTTATTTGAAATGTTCTAACATTGAGAGGATTTTTTTGTGTCTGCTGGTTTTGAGCAGTCCATACGTGCTGAGAGCAAGGCCACAGCTCCTGGTGGGAGCTGAGCTGAGAAAAGGTGGGAGAAGGGCAGTTCCTCCTCCACCAAGGACTCTCCTCTGATGATGTCCCAGGAGAAAAGAAGAAGAATAGCAGATTTTTTTTAAATTAACTTGATGACAGTGAAAAGCTATGGGCCACAGTGACCAGTGGTGGTTTAATGGGCATGTTTTCACCAAAGGTATGAAAAAGTAAAGGTTAATTTGGCTGTCCATAATCTGAAAAGGCCATATCTACCATTTCAAGTGGGCTGAAATTAAAAGTAATGTCAGTTTACACAAATTAACAAAAATCATCTGTGAAGTCCAGAGGTCCCAACAATAAGGTGTTTCCAGTTTCAGCAACCAAAAGCTGAGGCCTAGTTGCCAGCCTGGCAGTCACTCTTAAAAGTTGGTGTTGAACCTTGCAGTGTCAGCTAGGATCAGCTCCAGTCTCCCCCTGACCTTCTAAATGATAAGAGGATATAGCTAATGGATGGATGGATGGATGGATGGAACTGCACTACACATCTGTGCCTATACTTTTTTTGCTACTATGGCACTTCAGTTTCACTGCACAGGAGTCTTATGTTCTGTTGCTCTTTTCAGTTGCTTTATAAAGGGCAGCACATGAAAATGTACATTTAGCCTCCTTTTAGCACATTAATGTCTATCCAGGTTTGTCACTTTGTTTTCTTTTGTAACATCACAGGTAGAAAGAGCAACACTGCAGAGAAGCCAATCCCTTCAGCAGAGCCACCCAAGCCAGTTTTGCCTGGGAGCTTGGCCATTGGCTCAGTGTCTCTGGCAGTGGCCAAAAGAGGGGCAAAAATACAGGATATCCCACTGTACAAATACATAGCAGCTCTGAAAAACAGAAAGGTTAGACCAGACAAGCACAAACATGCACATTCAAACAAACACTACACTGGAACTACATATGTGGATGTCTTAAAAATGTTATTCAGGCTCCAACACAGTTTCACATCCCTGTCTCTTTGGTAACTTTGCTGAACTATGGGAAGACTCCTCCTGGAAAACTGAATTTACTTGAGGAAGTCATCCTGATCCCCAAAGTTGGACAGCGAGTCAAACAAGTACTCACCACTCTTCAAACACCTCCATGTAGTTGTTGCATGTTCTATCTGTTGGCAGTTGGCATAGACGTGTTAACTGTATGAAGTCAGTGTTTTTTGTGCAAGTCCCTGTGCATCTTTTGTTGTTGCTATGATGTGGTATTGTTAAGGCACCTCAGTTCTTGTAAATTGTTTTTTTTTTTTTTTACCATAGCATTTGTTAAATACACTGAACTGTGAACTTCTTCAACAGATAATCACAATGACCCTTGAGATACAGAAGGAGATGATGAGAATAATGAACACTGCAACAAAAGCTGGGGTGAGGGACATTGCGATTTATTCACTGCAAGAATAGGGCCTGGGTTCACACAGGCTTTGTTAGAGCTCTCAGTGTAAAAGGTGGAGGCAGTATTCAAGGTTCTGTTACTGAGCTTTCCATAAAAGTTACTTACAAAAAAGGAGATTTGTTTTCTATTGTCATGGCTAATTTTCAAATTAACTCAGGTATGCAGGCCTGGAGGTATGCTTATCAAAGGATTCAATATATCTACTGTTTACCATTTCCTTCAAGCAGCATTTGCACTATGTACACAGAGTTATCTCCTGCATTGTTCAATAACCTGTAGCCCTTACATTCATAACATGAACAGTGAGGGGGGTACACATGTTCGTACTCTAATAATCTTGCAATGACAAACGTCTCCTTCAGAACCATGAATATATACTCATCTATTGTCATTCACATGCAGCTTCAGCTAAGCACAATACATAGATGTTGACAAAGTAACTATGTCTTTGCTCTGGGGCCATCCAGGCAATGCTGTGTGGCAGGGGAGTGATGGCTGCGACCTACGAGCAGCCTCTAGATCTGATCACTGAAGCCTGCACTAATGTTGGACTGGCACTGGGGACAGAGATCCATTTAGCAGTAAACTGTGCTGCCCCTGAGTTATTGGACTATGTAAGTCGACAAAGGGTAGTTGCTGGCTTTATGTGAGCCAACATGTTGGGAGTCCTTGTATATGAGTCATCGTGTAAATCAATTCTATATGCGTGCAGCTAAAGAGGTCTGTTCACATGCAAATGGAGTATAGCCACAGCCTATAGAGACAAGCAGCAAAGAGAATCTAATTTGTTTTCTTCTCTTCTCAGTCTAAGGGAAAGTATGAAGTTGTAACAGGAGTTTTGAAGTCACCATATGAATTAGTTGATCTGTACCAAAACCTCATCAGCAAATACCCAGCAGTGGTGGCCTTAATCGATCCATTTAGGAGAGAGGTAAGTCAAAGGCATTATTATTCTTTTATAAGTATGTCCAAGTTCATGCATATAGATAATATTGTTTATATATTGTATAAAATATTATTGTTGTATTTATTGTTTACTATACGGTCACCCTGTGATAGTCTGGCAATCTGTCCAGGGTGTGCCGCAACCCCTAACAGGATAAGCAGTTATGGAAAATGAATGAATGAATGAATGTGTTTTATGTCACCTACTCTGTACTTTCTGTTCTGTTTCTGAGTGTTAAGCAGAAATGTAGAAACAATTCTGGTAAATTCCTAAAAGGGCAATCTAAATATAGATTGCTTTGAAGTTGAAGGATAGGGATTATGGTATTTTATATTTTTGTGTTGAGAAGTCCCATGAAAAGACCAAAAGTAACTATGTATTGGTCTGTCTGTTAATTATTTTTGACTTGCCTCCCCTGTGTGTGTGGCTCTCAGACCCAAGTCCTTTGGTTCCTACTGAATAAGTAAATGGTAATGGATAATGGTATGTATGGACAGAACTTTGAAGAGATGGCATGTTTCTGCCAAGAAGTTTGTAATACCAGTAAAACCCTATGGCTGATGGCTGAAACCTGAAATCTAGCATGTGGGAGTTAACACTGAGATAACCTGATGACAGGCTGACATATTAAAAGTTACTATAGTTACAGATGTGGACTTGCTGATCTTCCTTACTGTGAACAGCTTGTAACTAGTAGGCCATAGAATAATCACTTCTGACAACAGCCAAAACAGACAGAAGATAGCATCAACTCTTCACTTGACCATGGTGTTTTGTTCGCATATTCAACAATACTGTAAAAAAATGTGGATGGTACCCGCAGCGGAAGAAGGTTTTCTTTGCCATTGTTCATGGTGAATGAGATGTTTGACCAATGGAAGTCATTTAAACACTCAAATGAATCAACAAGAAAAAAAACTCTAAATCATTTGTCCAAATGTTTGTTGACTCCACCAATCAAAGAGTTGACAGCACTCTGAAAGATTTGCAAGTTATTTAAAATAGCTCACAATCACCTCAGAAGGACATGGATGAGTTAAATAAAAAGCTCTGATAACTCTGCCAACCTTAGGACCATCTCTGACAGGTCTCTGCAACATTCTTATAGATGAAATAATTGATGAGAGAAATTAATTGTGGCAAGTCACACAATCTAAATCTAACCAACTGCTGGCTGATAAATTGGAACATGTCTCGAAACAAATTGAGATTGAATGGGCACATTGTAACGGGAAATATAATGCGCAATCCATCATGCATCAGATAATTGTAATGACATAACTCAGATGTAAGGATAAAGAAGAAATTCATAAAAGAGGGAAAAACTTTAGGGCACCAAGATCTACGTCAAGACTTCACTGAATGTATGAGACAGAAACAAACTGAACTGTGGCCAAAGGTCAAAGCAGCATGCAACAAGGGAATGGTAGCATATTTACAATATCACCCACCTCGAGATTTTGTATCTTGCCCCTCAGGAGTGAACTTATCGCCCTTTTCCTGCAGTGCCCATCTTGTTATGGACACTAATAACACTGTCGTGGACTCTTCCAAACCTGTAAGCAACTCTGTAGCACTTTTGAACTACTCAAACCTTTCACCTTTCTTAAATGCTGATTAGTGATGATCATTTCACTGTTTTTGATCAGAAGTTAGATACTTGCAAATACTACACAGAGGACTCTTTAAAATCAAGGTGTCTAGAAAAACATGAAAAAAATAAATTCCAATTCCAAAACACTTTAATTTATTAATTGACTACTTTACCTCATTACCTTTACACTTTTCTGTTGTCGGTCTTACTGAAAGTTGGTTAAACAACTTGAAAGTGTCTCTCTGCTCAAAAAATGGCCACAATCATCTTTTTACCAATAGAATAGATGGACAAGGTAGTGGGGTATCCCTCCTTATTATAGTGATTATTAAATACACTCTGCCACAAGATTTAGTAATTGGTAATCCTAATACAGATAGTTATGTTAAATCAACATTTATTGAGGTAATAAATGACTTTGTTTCCAGGCCATGTTATCATTGGTTGTGTACATAGACCACCAAGCCATAATATTAACTCTTTTGTTGATATTGTTGAACTTCAGAATGCTATTGTCATGAAGTGCAAAGCCTGTTCCATATTAGGTGATTTCAATATTGATTTACTGCAGCCCAGCTAAAAAAAAATTGGAATGAGCAGGAGACATAAAACTTGGCACCATAATTGGAAATGATGTCCTAATGCTTCAGATCAAATTTGATTCCATTTAGCCTGATGGTGGCGCTATAATTGATGGCCGAAAAAGGAAAAACTTTGACAGGCCATGCCCCTCACACCCTGAGTCAGACTGATTTGAAATTTGCAACACATCTACATCTCAGTGTCCTCTGCAAAGAGTCTAGTGGCCAATTAAGGGAACCATGATGGATTCTTTGGTAGTTTGCATTCTTTGCAGGGGCTTGGGCTTAAAAGGAAATAGGCCATGACTTTCGTTGTCTTTGAGCAATCCTGATTAAATTCAGTGGAGACATCTTGGTCTCATTTCCTAAACACACCCATCAAGTTTTTTTCATATCTGATTCAAAGGGAGCAACACAGGACTTTAGGTGTGCAATTACTGAAACACTGCATACACTGTAATGATTAAACAAGTATGTGATTTTTATCACTCCTTCTTTAGACAGAATTAAACCAGCTTAAAAAACTTTGTTCGGCTTTGTGAAGCCTGAACCCCTCTTGCTTCTGCTTTGATTTTGGCAGTTGAGCTACTTCCTTCTGTTGGCCTATAAATGGCTTTAATAAGTGGTGGACAGAATTTTACCAAAGTTGGTGCACATGTTTGGGGTCAAGTATTAACCAAGATCAGAAGTGTCATATTGATTGGTACATGTTTGTTAGCATTATATGCTAAAAGCTCCCCCTTCACCACGACAGTCCTGCATAGCACTTGCGTGTCAGAGTCAGAACCTCTAAGTCTAAGTCCATGGTTCTCAGCCAGAAACTGCTAGATTGCTCCCTTCAGGTTGGAAGTGCGTAACTGCTCCAAGTGAAGGAGTTCAAGTATATTGGGGTCTTGTTCAGAAGTGAGCTCAATGTGACTGAATCAGATAGATTATTGAAGACTGTTAAGGACTCAAACCAGAGACTGTTATACCAAAAATATTTAGGATTTATTTTTAATGCATAGCATAAAATATACAGTACAGGCCAAAAGTTTGGACACACCTTCTCATTCAATGTGTTTTCTTTATTTTCATGACTATTTACATTGTAGATTCTCACTGAAGGCATCAAAACTATGAATGAGCACATGTGGAGTTATGTACTTAACAAAAAAAGGTGAAATAACTGAAAACATGTTTTATATTCTAGTTTCTTCAAAATAGCCACCCTTTGCTCTGATTACTGCTTTGCACACTCTTGGCATTCTCTCCATGAGCTTCAAGAGGTAGTCACCTGAAATGGTTTTCCAACAGTCTTGAAGGAGTTCCCAGAGGTGTTTAGCACTTGTTGGCCCCTTTGCCTTCACTCTGCGGTCCAGCTCACCCCAAACCATCTCGATTGGGTTCAGGTCCGGTGACTGTGGAGGCCAGGTCATCTGCCGCAGCACTCCATCACTCTCCTTCTTGGTCAAATAGCCCTTACACAGCCTGGAGGTGTGTTTGGGGTCATTGTCCTGTTGAAAAATAAATGATCGTCCAACTAAACGCAAACCGGATGGGATGGCATGTCGCTGCAGGATGCTGTGGTAGCCATGCTGGTTCAGTGTGCCTTCAATTTTGAATAAATCCCCAACAGTGTCACCAGCAAAACACCCCCACACCATCACACCTCCTCCTCCATGCTTCACAGTGGGAACCAGGCATGTGGAATCCATCCGTTCACCTTTTCTGCGTCTCACAAAGACACGGCGGTTGGAACCAAAGATCTCAAATTTGGACTCATCAGACCAAAGCACAGATTTCCACTGGTCTAATGTCCATTCCTTGTGTTTCTTGGCCCAAACAAATCTCTTCTGCTTGTTGCCTCTCCTTAGCAGTGGTTTCCTAGCAGCTATTTGACCATGAAGGCCTGATTGGCGCAGTCTCCTCTTAACAGTTGTTCTAGAGATGGGTCTGCTGCTAGAACTCTGTGTGGCATTCATCTGGTCTCTGATCTGAGCTGCTGTTAACTTGCGATTTCTGAGGCTGGTGACTCGGATGAACTTATCCTCAGAAGCAGAGGTGACTCTTGGTCTTCCTTTCCTGGGTCGGTCCTCATGTGTGCCAGTTTCGTTGTAGCGCTTGATGGTTTTTGCGACTCCACTTGGGGACACATTTAAAGTTTTTGCAATTTTCCGGACTGACTGACCTTCATTTCTTAAAGTAATGATGGCCACTCGTTTTTCTTTAGTTAGCTGATTGGTTCTTGCCATAATATGAATTTTAACAGTTGTCCAATAGGGCTGTCGGCTGTGTATTAACCTGACTTCTGCACAACACAACTGATGGTCCCAACCCCATTGATAAAGCAAGAAATTCCACTAATTAACCCTGATAAGGCACACCTGTGAAGTGGAAACCATTTCAGGTGACTACCTCTTGAAGCTCATGGAGAGAATGCCAAGAGTGTGCAAAGCAGTAATCAGAGCAAAGGGTGGCTATTTTGAAGAAACTAGAATATAAAACATGTTTTCAGTTATTTCACCTTTTTTTGTTAAGTACATAACTCCACATGTGTTCATTCATAGTTTTGATGCCTTCAGTGAGAATCTACAATGTAAATAGTCATGAAAATAAAGAAAACGCATTGAATGAGAAGGTGTGTCCAAACTTTTGGCCTGTACTGTATTTTGAGTCAACTGAGGAGCAACAAAAGTTTAAATATGAATTCAAATGAAACCACATTAAACTAACAGCAATAATATAATTAAGGAATTGATTAATGTGATTGCTGCACCATGGGGGAAGCTGGAGTAGGGCTATGAAATGAACAATGAAAAAATAAATAA